GTTGCATAGGAGAGGGGAAAGAGACCTCAAGATAACTGTCCCCTGGTCCCACCTCCCAGTGCTGAAATATCCCATCTAGAGGAAAATCCTCTCAATTTCTTTCTCACAAAAAATATATTCTGCTCTTACTTCCATTGTTCTTCATTATTCATTCTTCAATTTTAGAGAACCTAAACTCATACCCAACATAGTAGGTCAGGAGTTTCATTCCCCTATGTCACTGTCTGATTGCTTATATTTCTAACTAACTCAGCTGCCCATAAAATTAAGAATCATTTGTCAACTTCACTTAGCATAATTGGAGCAAATAAAATGTACTTAATGGATATAGTGAAATATATGTTTAAAATGAAAAAATAATTATCACAGTTTCTCTATCTAGCATCACCAAACATTTTCAGCTTTCAAGTATGTGGAAAAATAAAAACTAAAAACAACTCTCAGCAAATACCCATAGTATAAAGGACAGTATATCATTCACCGTATTTACCATGTTATCTGTGGATATTTTGTAGACCAAAAAAGAAAAATTGAGCCGTTGAATGAACAACAATCAATTTCAATAATTGTGCTCATAGAACTACATGGTTGAGAATTGTAGAAAAAAAATTTTGGTACCAGGTATTGAACTCATGACTGTTATACTCTAGAAAAAATACCTTCATTATATTTGAATTATAGCAAATTACCTGTAACATGTCCATACCATATATATGTTTTCCTTCTCCATCTGGGTGATCTAATTGATATGTTAATCAATGCTCTCCTCTGTAAAGAATTTTAAAATCTTACCTAATTGATATGTTAACCATTGCTGCCCTCTACAAATAACAGATGTAGTGCTAATATAAGCTAACAAAGGTTGTTAATTGCTACTAGACTTCTCTATTCTCTGCTGAAGGAAACAGAATTGATTCCTGTTTACAGGAAATCTTGCTTGTTTGCAGAAAAATTTGCTTGTTACCTGAACTTTGCTCTTCCCAATGTAATCGCTGTGATCTTGTTCTGTAGTGCACCCCAGCCACCCTCCTTATATTGTGAGACCAGCAGCTGTTTGCAGTTTTACAAGATAAAAGCCTGCCTTTTACCTGGGAGGTGCGCAGACTGCAAATTGGCTCCTGGAGACTGTGTCACTAGGCCGGGCCTAAAATAAAGCCTTTGCTCCCTAAATTTTAATATCTTGCTTCCTTAAATATTATTCTGGGGTCTGAGTTATCACAATGAGCTTGTGCTTACCTGGGTGGTGCTTATACCACTGAGTTCAATGCCCAGCCTGAACAGCCTTAGATTCTAAATATGACTATTACTACTCTTCAATTTGCCATTGACAGATTTAATTGAAAATCTTGTTCATCTACATCTTCACAAATGAAATTATTTTCTTTCCTTGCAGTTTAAATTACTTTTTTTTAGGTACTGGGGATCAAACTAACAACCTGGCACTGGCCAGGCAGGTACTTCTGCCTGCTGAGCTAAAACCCAGGCCCCTATTAAATGATATTTTATTAAATATATAAATATCACTTTATCCATTCAAATAGTATTGTGATTTTATTACAGGAGGCCAAGGTACACAGAAATTGATAAATAGTCAGAGAGGAAATGGACCCTCAAAGGAATCAATGTAAAAAATCTAAATACGGGGGCTAGAGATTTAGCTCAGTGGCATAAGCGCCTGCTTTGCAAGCAGGCAGTCATGAGTTCAATCCCAGGTACTGATAAAAATGAAAAAGACAAAAAAAAAAAAAAACTAAATACAACAATCACTGCTAGAGGCACAGCTGAAGCAAGCCAGACCTGAATGTGCAGATGCAGTAACCATGTCTACATGCCTCTTAAACAGAAAAACAATGTGATAGCTCGGAAAACAGAATAAAATCCAAGGAAGCAAGAATTAAAATTTGGGGAGCAAAGGCTTTATTTCCATGCCTGGGAGCACAGTCTCCTTAGGATCGACCCAAAGACCACGCACCTCACAGTTGGGGGAAGAGGCTTTTAAAGCTGAAAATCACAGAAATGTTGTAATCACTGACACAGTTAGATAGTATCTGGGCTTTACAAAACTTCCTGAAATTTCCTTAAAGTTAAGCATTTTCTAAAGAACAACACATTTTATTATAGCCCACCAGGTAGGGGAGGGGGTTATAAGAAACTGAAACCTAAGGCTTTTACGGCCTTTCAGGAAATTGAAACTTAACCTAGATAGAGAGGAAGGGGGAAGGTGGGAGAGGGAAGGGGAAGGCAGTGTAGTGCACACAGAGCAGAATTAAGGCACAATGTTAGAGCTAGGCTATAACATTCCCCTCTGATGTTGTAACATAGGCCAAATCCTTGGCCTTATTTTATTATTACTTAAGTGCCTCTGGGAACACGCCCGTATGCTTGTTGTCTAACCATCATTAATTTTTGTTTTGCATCTAATATCTGATATACATAGTCAGCTTATTGATTATGCAGGGGCCTAAAGTAACTAATACTAGAATCATAACAAGAGGACCAGCTAACATCGCTATTATACTAGTCATCCATGGTGAGAGGGAGAACATTTGTTCCATCCACTGCGGAGGTCCTTGTCTTAGTTTTTATCTTTCCTATAGACATTTCTGGAGTTCAGCCAAATTTTGTTTTACTATCCCAGACTTATTAGCATACAGGCAACATTTTTCCCTTAATGTCAAACACAATCCTCCTTTTTTAGCTAATAGGAGGCCTAGCCTTCTACGATTTTGGAGAGCTACTTCAGCTAATGCACCAAATGAGCTTTCTAACGCCTCAATGGCATTGTGAATTTGTTTCATTCCTTCATCTACCCTTTTGGATAAAATGTTTTAATGGTATGTACTAACTCCAAGGGAGGCAGCCCCCAGCCCGAGGGCTGAGAATATACTGATTCCAGCCATAATAGGAAGAACTGGACTTCTCTTATCTATTTGGTGGCTGGTAGAGATGAGGGCCCTATGTTCTTCTTCTTCGGAATGCCAGTAAATTCTCGGCAGGATCTGGGTCAGCACACAAACTTCATTCTGTTCAATAACAAACTTTCTTGAAGCAATACAGGGGTACCATTCCAAAGTACAAGCCCACTAATGGCTGGCTGGGGCCACTATGGGAGTATTATTACCAGACCCTGTAATGCGATAGGAATGGGAGAGATCAAAATATTCAGGAGCCGTGTGGCTGCAGTGATATATATAGGACCCATTTAAACCCTCTAGACTGGTACTTTTCCACAGAGATTGAGGGAGAAATATATCACATCTGGTGGCACTGGAGGCTAGTTTACTGGTGACTGTGATGTAACCCTTGTAGAAGGGAGGCTCAGAGGACAGACATGGGATTGTCAGACCACTGTCAATGGAGCCATTAATTAGCTCAGCTACTATTTCTAAGGGTTTGGAATATCTCCATCATTGAGGGTGGCATGTGGGTTTCAGGCTCAAGACCAGTTACTAACGAGGGTGTAAGTTCCTGTCTAGACTTCACTGGGCCAGTTTCTTGTGGCCTCTTAGTGGATGCAAGTTGGAATGGGGTTGATCTGGACCAGGCACCTCAACTTTGATCCAATATTTGAGGTCCTCTTTCTTTTTCCACATGCACATTTTTACTTGGGGTTGGTTTGTATCATACAGAGTTCCATTACAAAGAGCTTCAGGCACTGGAAGCATTGGAGTGCGCCTCCAGAATTGGCTTGGAATGGACATTGGCACCTTGATTGGAGTAGGTACCACCAGTGGGCAGCATTCCTTTTTGTATTGAACTACAGGAGCTTTTCTGGTGGTTTGTATAGAATGTTAATATTAACTCCAGGGTCATACCCAGTGCAATAGACCTTAACCCAGAGTGCCTCCTTTTCGGTGGACACTGCTGCCCCGGCCACTCATTTGCTGTTCTGGATGAAGCTATTTCCATCGATGAAATAGTTTTCGGCATCTCCCAAACACTGATTGGTGAGATCAGCCCATAGGTTCTGTTGTAGATCGAGGATGTCAGCACACTCATGGAGAGGAGTATGTTGACTCTCTGGGTCATCATCGTGCATAAGGGTGGCTGGGTTTAAAGCTGCAGAAGCCTTGAAATCTACTGACTCTTGGTCTAGCAGCAGAGCCTGATAGTGTAAAATTCTAGTGTTCGAGAGCCATTTTTAGGAGGGGTTTTGAGAAGAGTCTCTAAACTGTGGGAGGTCACCATAGAAATCTTTTGTATAAGAGTGAGTTTTTTATCCTCCTTCAGTAGCATCACCAGAGGGGCTAGAATTCTTAGGCATGGAATGCCTCTTGCTACTGGATCGAGTCTTTTAGAGAGGTAGGCTATAAGCCTCTTCCAAGGGACAATGTCTTGAGTCAAGACTCTTTTTACAATGCGTATGAGCTCATCCATGAACAAGGTAAATGGCTTGGTAACATTAGGGAGTCCCAGGGCTGGAACCTCAGTCAGGGCCTGTTTGAGCTATTAGAAGTCCTGCTCGCAGTCATTGGTCCAGTCTAATGGCTTTTGGGTCTCTCCCTTAAGAGAGTCATACATCAGGTGAGCCATTTCGATGAAATTTAGAATCCACAGCCTACAGTACCTGACAGCTCCCAGAAACTTGCATACTTCTTTCATAGTTTCTGGGGTTGGTATCTGTAATATGGCTTGGACTCTTTCTCTAGACAAAGTTCTTTTGCCTTCTTGCAACTTGTGGCCCAGGTAAATCACAGACTGGTGGCACAACTGGGCCTTCTTATCTGAGAATTTATAGCCTAATTTCCCCAAAGTCTTTAACAGTTCCTCTCTTGCCTCTCGACAAGTCTCTAATGAAGAGGAGGCTACCAACAACTCACCCACATACAGAGCACTATCTTGGGGTGTTCTTCCCTAAATCTCAAAAGATCTCTGGCTAGTGCCTCGTGGAAAAGGGTGGGTGAGTTCTTAAAGCCCTGAGGTAAGTGAGTCCAGGTCAGCTGTTCCTTCACTTCTGAATCTGGGTCAGTCCACTCAAAGGCAAAAAGGAGTTGACTCACCTGTGTGAGGGGCAGAGTGAAGAACACACCCTTTAGGTCCAAAACAGAGTACCAGTTGTTCTCCGGATTGAAGAGGCTAAAGAAGAGTATAAGGGTTAGGCACCATTGGGTGTAGAGTCAGTACTCATCTATTACCCTCTTGGAGATCCTGTACAAGACAATAGTCATTTGTCCTGGCTTCTGGACTAGAAGTAGAGGTGTATTCCTTGGAGAGACACAAGGAATTAAGATACCATTGTCTCTAATCTCTGAATGTGGACTTTGATCCATTTTCAGGCTTTGATCCCTTTGTAGTCTTAACGGGTGTTGCAAATGGGGTGTCCCTAGGGTAGGAGCTCCACCACAAGGGGCAGCTGGTTAATTGCTAGCCCTGGTGGGGGGTTGGTTTCTGCCCAAACTTCTGGGATTTCCTGCTTCCATTTGCTTAACAATTTTAATTCTAGGTCAGTTTATAATGTCTCAGGTACACTGGACAAATTTCCCAGTAGGCGGTAATTTTCTCCTACTGGGAAAAGAGCTAGCACTCTGATGTCTTCTGAGTCCAGAATTGTATCCACCCCCAGTTTTAGTCTTAGCTCAGGTGTAAAGAAGTCAATATGCACTTGCAATATATGGAGGAGATCTCGTCCCAAGAGAGGGTCTGGACACCCAGGAGCCGATAGAAAATCATCTTGGACCAGTTTATGTCCAGGTCAAGCAAAACTAGCTGTCACTTTTGGGTACAATTTTCATCTCGCTGTGGCTCTGATTACATTGACTGAACTCTTGGTTAGCTTTCCTAAAGGTTGGGTCAGCACAGAATAGGTGACTCCTGTATTGACCAAGAAGTCCACCAGTTGCTTTCCCACTTGAAGAGTTATCCAGGGCCCGGGCGGTGGTGTCGATCCCTGACCTCCTCATTGTTGAGACAACAGGGCCTTTGTCTCTTTTTATAGCTTGACCTTTAACTTTGGGCCATCTTTATGCCAATGTCCCATCTCTTTGCAATATGCACATTGTTCTTTATCTAAACGAGGCCACTGGCCTTTAATCTCCTTTTTCCCAATGCTAGTCAATCTTTTAGCTTCTTTTACACCAAACAATTCCTAGTCATCTTTTTATTTGTGGCTTCTAGTAGGGTCTCCCTTTTGTTGAAAACCTTCTGTGCTATCTCTATCAGCTGGCTGAGGGACATCCCTTCAAATCCCTCAAGTTTCTGTAACTTTTTCCTAACATGGGGGGCCGACTGAGACACGAAAGCAATGTTAATCACTTGAGTGTTTTCAGATGCCAACGGATAAATTGGAGCATGTAATCTGTAGGCCTCTAGGAAGTGCTCCAAGAACATAGCAGGAGACTCATCAGCTAACTGTCTTACCTCACTCACTCGAGACAGATTGGTAGACTTGTTAGCAGTGGCACAAAGTGCATCTAGGAGCCTCAGGCAATAATCATCAAGAGCCTTCTTACCTCCATCCGTGTTGGGGTCCTATTCCGGTTGAGAGGAAGGGAACAGACGTTCACATCTCTGCTGATGAGCGGATAGAGATCCACCCAGATCCCAAACTCCCTTTTGTCCTAAAGTGTAGATACGCATTCTTCCCTTGACCATAAAAAGAATGCACAGGATCTGCTAACAGTCATCCCAAGTGGGGCTATGGGTAGAGAAAACAGATTCTATAAGGTTAATCAGAGTTTCTGGGTCCTTTGAGAAAGGGGGGTTTTGAGTTTTCCAGTTAGAGATCAGAGTTAGTGTACAGAAACATGGAGCCCCCTCTTGGGGGTGGGGACTTCCTGCAAAGGGTACAGTGGTGCTGCTTCGGGACCTTGTTCTGGAGGTCCCTCCAGCCGTGGGTGGTGGTGGGTTTGGATAAGATGATGCGGGGAGGAGTGGTGAGTCAGGATGGGGACTAGGGGCAGGGTACGGGGGAGGGGGCAAGGGAAGAATGTCTAGTGGGTCAGAAGAGTCTTCACTTGGAGGCAAAACTGGAGGTGCATTGTGTCCAGGTGCCTCCTCTTCAGCCTTTGTTTTCAGTTTGAGGGCTTCTAGAACTCCATCCTGAGACGGCTTAATCCATGAGGGGGCATCATAGATTATATCTATCTAAATCTGAATACAGACAATTTGGTCAGGATGAGCAGGGGGCCCAAAAACATACTGGTGAACAGCCTGCGCAGTTCCCAGGTCAAAAGATCCAGAAGGGGGCCAGACCCCTTGGGTCCCCAATGGCCACTCCTGTGTGACAAAAGTTGTTAATCTGGCCTTATGGACCTTTTCCCCATATCCCTCAGCTCATCACTTAAATTGTTTGAAGTGATCAAGCACAAGGCCGAGGGGAGCACTGGAAAAAGACTTGGTCTGACCCATGGTTGACAATGCTGCTGGTTTACTTTTCCTGTCAGGAAATTTAAGAGACAAAGACAGGGTCAGAAGGAAATGACCAATTATTAATAAGATGAAGAGAATGGTTAAAGTTGCTCTGGCTGGCTTTTGGCTTGCAGAAGTGGTTCCTAGGAGAAAATGTTCTGTCACAGTCAGGTGACCAAAAGGACAATTAGACCACATAGACACAAAGCCAAACATAAAAGACATGACACGCTGTAGCAAAAAATGGCATTTGCTCAAAAAGTCAATCAATTCTGGATTTCTGGAGGAATTTACCAAACTAGCCAATGGTGCAGTTCGCTACGTAAGGCAGAGTCACAAATGGACAGAGTGCATCGCAAAAGCCAACTGACTCCAGACTCAGGAGATCCCCGCACCCCAAATTGAGGGCATCCCCTCCAAAAGTACAAAAATACAAAGTGACTATGGCCCAAACAAACTCCCCAGAGTACTTACTTTCAAATGTTCAGAATTGAGTCTGGGGTCTTGCTCCCCTCCCAGACAAGACCCCAAATGTGATAGTTCAGACCCCAGAATAAAATCCAATGAAGCAAAAAATTAAAATATGGGGATCAAAGGCTTTATTTCCAGTCCTGGGGGCACAGTCTCCTTAGGATCGACCCAAAGACCATGCTCCTCACAGTTGGGGGGAGAGGCTTTTAAAGCTGGAAACTGCAGGAATGTTGTAATTGCTGACACATCTGGGCTTTACAGAACTTCCTGAAATGTCCTTGAAGTTAAGCATTGTCTGAAGAACAACACATTTTTTATAGACCACGGGTAGGGAAGGGGGTTACAAGAAACTGAAAACTAAGGCTTTTACGGCCCTTCAGGAAATTGAAACTTAACCTAGATAGATAGGAAGGGGGAAGGGGGAAAGAGGAAAGGAGAGGCAGTGCAGTCAAACAGAACAGAAATAAGGTGCAATGGATAGAGCTATGCTATAACAAACAATAGCTTGAAATGTACTACAGTTATCACCACCTTCCCCAGGAAGTCCAGATAGGCATCTATTACCATACTCAATGACCAGAACAACTGGACTTTTATTCCCACAAAATGCCTTGGCTCTTTCTGCATACCTTTTCAGGGTGCCTTGCTACCCTTCTGAATAATATTAGTTAAGCACCTATAAGCTTAAAGGTTGATTGTAGTTTGAGACCCACACTGTACTCACATTCTGACTTTGCTGTATAAATGACCCCTGACAATACATCTATGGCCTAAACACTGAAGACCACTCCTGCAAAGGCAGGGCTATTCTGTCTTTTTTTTTTTAAAGAAAACTTTTTGAACTTCTTTTGATTTGTGACTTCATTCTTCAATGCTGTGAGCCAACCAACTTGCTGAATTTGCCATCAAACCAGGTAGGATTATATTTCTCCTATTTCAACTTGAATATCAAACATCTGCTAAAGCCCATGATTCAAAGCCTTGATTTCAAGCTGCTTATTTGCTCTGAGTTTGACATTTTCATGAACTTTTGGACCTCCTGTCTAGTAGACTGCAGATGTATTGGAGGAAGGAGGTCACTATTGTGATGTAGCACAATAGGTCCCATTCATAACTGTATTTTTCACTGCCTCCTGGGTGCCACTTCATGACCAGCTTTCCTCTGCAACATCATTCCATAATTCCCATTTTAGTTAAGTCAACTTTCATTCAGCTCTAATATTTTTGTTTTCTTTTAATAGTCTTCCTTTGTTCCTTGGTTTTTATATTTTTTCATTTTTGTTTTTTGTTTTTAAAGACATAGTCCCACTTTGTAGTTCTGGCTCACCTTGCACTCACTATGTAGGGTAGTCTGTCCTTGAATACATGGCCATTCTCCTGTTTCAGCCTCTTTAATGCCGGGTAAAGAGGTGGATATCATAACACATGGTGTTTGTCTTTTTTCTTCCCTCCTTTTCAATATTATTCTTTCATTAAGGTGACACTGTATTTAATCTATGTTCTTGCTTGTGTCAGTAAACCTTTCTGGAGCTGGAGGTCAGTTTGTGAACAACAATATATGAATCCACACAGACAAAGGATAAATTAGGAATTTAAATAATGGTGCTCAGAACCACTTCTCCCATTTCAAAACCTCCCCCATTTCAAAATCTAACCAAGTGACCCTGGACTGGAATGTTAAGAGTTTTTAAAAGGGAGAATCACAAAGAACATTCAATTGAAAACAATGTAGCTAGAATCTTATGTTAATTTTTGGTTGACACCTGTATCCTGTTTTTGTTGTTGTTGTTGTTATTGTTTTTGAGCAGGTTAAATATTTTTCTTTGGGAACAGCTCATTTTGCTTTTCTCATTGTACTTATATACTGAGTCATTTTCCATTTTCCTGGCTCAAATACAAGGCAGTATTTAAATGTAGGGCTCAAGATTGTATGATTTATGCCAAGCTACAACACAGCTAGGATACAGTGCCAAGCCTTAATATTTTCTACATAAAAACACACATAATATTTGACTATTTCAATATTTGTGATGTTCAGCATTATAATAAAGCCTGATCTAGAGTCAGGAAAGGCTAAAGTCACCAGGTCTCTCATTATTTTCCACTGATCTTTTTGCTCATCTTCCATAAATGCTCTCTTAATTCACAATACTGTTGCTCAAATTTGACACATAATCCTAGATTTGATGTCTCCCGTTTTTGCAGTAGTGTAGTCTGTTATCCTCAGACCATAAGAGATAGGAACACGTCTTCTGATTCCCTACACTCCAATGGTGTTTTATGTTAATTTGAACATTTTTCCTTTAAGGAATTGACAGTTAATGAATACATGTGTATCTTATGACTGTTTTCTCATCTTTCAAATAACACCAAGAATTCTTTCAGGTGTCAGGTGCACACCTGTAAGCCCAAACTTGGAACGTTGAGGTAGGATTACCAGTGTGAATGTACTGGACTAAGATGTGAGTCCACAGTCAGCCTGAACTGCATAGGTAAACCCTGTCTCAAACAAATAGGAAAAAAGTATCTATTATTGCTGATATCCTTGAGAAGAAGAAATCAATAGTTTGAAACTTTTAGGATCATACCTTTTAGGATATATCAGGTAAGTATAAAAACCAGTAAGACTATGTTTAAGGACATTGAAAACTCAAAATATATCATAGTGCAAAGTCTTATACAGATTTAATGCAGTGCCCATCCAAATAATATTATTATAGCTCACAAATATAGAGAAAACTTTTCTAAAATTCATTTGGAAACAGAAAATATCTAGAATACCAAAGACATTCCTGGGCAACAGAGGCAAGTCAGGAGGCATCACAATTCTTCACTTGCTATAATACTAGAAAGCTACTGTCACAAAATCACCAGAGTCCTGGCAGAAAAACAGACCCAATAATCTAAACAGACTGGAGATAGAGACACAACTACAAACACACTCTGCTACCTTGTCTTTGATGAAGGAGGCAAATATGTTCACTGGAAGAGAGATAGCCTCTTCAATAATGCTGAAGAAAATGACTTTCCCCATATTGAAGACTTAAACTGTGTCTATGCCTATCACCATGAAATAGACTAAAGTCAAACTAGCTTGGAGATCTAAATATTACAATAGAAACACTAATGAGGCTTCATGAACAAAACACAAAAGTTGAAGAATCAACTTCGAAGAATCAATCACTGAGACTCAATCTTATTAAAAAAATATTTGTACATCAAACGAAATCACTAACAGTGAAAAGACAATGCACAGTTTGGGCAAGGGATATCTTTCCATTTTCTGATAATCTCTTCAGTATCCTTTTACAAAGTACTATATTTTCAATATGTAACTCCTTGACATTCTTTGTTAGGTTCATTCCAAGTATTTCATTTTCTTGGAGGCTATTGCAAATGGTGTGGTTTCTGTAACTTGTCTCTTAGTGAGTTGATTGTGTACAGGAATGCTCTTGATTTTTGATTGTCAACTTTGTCTTCAGCTACATTATTGAATTTGGTTAAGTCTAGAAGTCTTTTGGTGGAGTAATTGACATCTATATAGAATATCATGTGATCTGTGAATAATGATAGTTTACCTGCTTTATGTTATGTGATTATTCTTATTTGTCTCATGTCTTATTCATCTGCCTGTTTTCAGATTGTATTGAATAGGAGTTTTGATAGTAATCATGCTTTTGTTGTTCTTAATTGTAGTGTGAAAGTTTTTAGTTTTTCACTATTTAGTATGATGCTGGGTATATTTTTGTCTTTGCTTGTTTTATCAGATTGAGGTAAAGGCTCTCTATTATTACATACTGCAGGATTTTATTACAAATCAGTGCTCTATTTTATCAAAAGATTATTGTGCATTTGTTGAGATGATCATCATGTGACTTTGGTTTTTGCCTGTGCTGATAGGACATTTAAATTTATTGATTTGCATGTACTGAAACATCCCTGCCTTCCTGGGATGAATCCAAGTTGGTCAGGTTTTAAAATCTTCTTGATGATTTGCTACATTCACTTTGCTAGTATCTATTAAATATTTTTGTATCTACGTTCATTAGGAAAACTTGCCTATAGTTTTCTTTTTCTGGTTGTGTCTTTCTCTGTTATTAGTATCAGTGTAATGCTGGCTTCCAGGAAAGAGATAGGGAGAACTACTTCTCTTTCAATTTCATTAAAGAGTAGGGGCCTTCAATTCTACACTGTTGGTGGGAATGTAGACTGGTACAACCTTTGTGGAGGTCAGGCTGGAGATTTCTCAAAAAGCTGGGATTGGAAGTCTCATTTATTCCAGCTATTCCACTTCTAGGCATATTCCCAGAAGAACTGAAAGCATCATACCACAGTGATATATGTGCACCTATGTTTATAGCAGCACTATTTGTAATCGCCAGATCTTGGAAACAACCCAAGTGTCCATCAACTGAGGAATGGATAAAAAAGTTGTGGTATTTCTATACAATGGAGTATTATTCAGCTATAAAGAAGGATCACATTGAGATATTTATCAATAAATGGGTGCAGCTTGAGACCATACTCATAAGTGAAATAAATCAATCTCGCATGTTTCAATACCGAATAGTTTCCCTAATGTAAATAATGATTCAAATATATAAAAATATGTGGTAATCATGATTCCCCATTATGTGGCCTTGAAGCCTTATAAAGTTTTCACTTATTAATTGTAATGTCTTTATTCTGGGCTTCTTGATATGGAAATATTTGAAGATATAGTATATGAAGTTTTATCCAAATATTTCAAGGAAAAAGACAGACACTATGGTAACTACTATTAAGTTGGGTTATTTGGTGGTGAAGCACTAGGTTGCTGAAACAGTCATGCTTTGACCTGTATTGTTATATTGTTATGTCCTGTTTTATCTCAATCTCTCCCTTATTCTTTAAAAAAATATTTAGTTATTTATTATGTTTGTTTTAATTAAGGTGAAAATTTTAAAAAATTAGCAGGATATATAATAGTAACTATTTTTGATTTCCTATTAACTTGTTTTGAAGTCCTTTAATACTCCCATGATCTTGTTTTGACTGATTAGACTCTGTTCCATTCTGTATGATAGTATCAAGTTTGAGGGTATAGGCAACTACTTTGAAGGCAATAAGATTCACTAAGATGTACATTCTGGTTTGACTATTGTCTCCTTTGGAAGTCCTGTAATGTTTACAATGCTTAAGTTTTATTGGTCTTGTTCTCTACTGTTTTGTTCAATGTTATAATACCTAATGAGATATACAATTCTTTTTAAGGAAACAAGAGACATTATGGCCACCATTGTTGATAACCTTGTACTCTGTTTTCACATCATGTGCTATGTCTATCCTTGGTTTTGACTGACAGCTTTGTTTTGCCATATTTGACTTTATTGTCTCCCCCCCCCCGCTGAAAAAGTAATAAGAACTAAGGAATAATAAAACCCCAAATGTGTAAATTTTGTTATAAAAAAGAGAAGGAAAAAAGTGCTCTAAAAGATACAAGAGCAAGTGTGTTTAGGGGTGTTAAATAGCTGACCATATTAATGTTTTTGGTTGGAACATTGAACACAACTGTTTGCAGTCTCAATGTTTGAATGTCCAGTTTGTATGCTTTGATACTGTGACTTGAGCAACTCTCTCTAAGATGATAATATGTAATCTATTAACTGGTGATTTCTTACTTTTTTATTTTATTGTTCTGTATTACTTGTACCCTTACACTGCTTTGTTTTGTTTTGTTTTTTCTGTTTTTCCTTTTAAATAAAATTTTTTTTAAAAAGATTAGGGGCCTTCAATTTTCTATACATTTCTTGTAAAATTCAGCAGTAAATCCATGAAGACCTAGACTTCTATATGTTGGTCAATTCCCTTTTTGTTGTCATTGTTTTGCTTCACTTTAATGTGTTTTGCAGAGGGTCTTATTATGCATTGGAGTTGCCTTGAGGTCACATTGTAGCCCTGGTTAGTTTCAAACTCACAACAATGCTTTTACCTCAGCCTCCCAAGTTCAGGGGTTAAAGGCATGCACCACCCGGCCAGTACCCAATAAAATTTAATTAGATCTTCAGTCTCATTAACAGATACTGCATTATGTAGAATTTTTATAACTTCTTGAGTCAGCTTTGGTAATTCATATGTATCTAGGAATCAATTCATTGCTATATTATCCAACCTAGGGAAGCATAAGTTTTTGAAATAGATACTGATGTTTTTCTTAATTTTTACATGATCTGTAGATATCTTACTGTTTTCATTCCTCAATGAATGGTTTTGAGTGGTTATTTTCTTCTTTTGATAGGGTTGGCTAAGTGCTTATCAATTGTGTTTATTCTTTCAATGAACCAACTCTTTGATTCATTAAATCTTTTTATTGTTTTATGTTCTGCACTGCATTACTTTTTTCTCTGATCATTATAATTTCCTCCCTTTTATTGGCTTTGGGTTTGTCATGCCATTTTTTTTTCTGGAAGTATGAGGTAAAACAGTAGATCTTTATTTATGTTTTTTCTATTGCCTGATGTGAGATTTGAGTACCATAAATTTCCCTCTTTGAACTGCTTTCATTAGAATCCCATGAGAACCAAGGTTTGCATCTGTATTCTTGTTGTGTTGTAGATATTTTCAAGTTTCTTCCTTTATTTCATCTGTGACCCATTGATTGTTTGGCAGAGTGTTATTTAATTTCCATATATTTATGAAATTTTTGCAACTTCTTTTACAAATATTTCCCAATTGTATTGCACTATGGTCAGGTAAAATGTACGGGGTCACTTCAGTTTCTTGACATTTACTTCAGCATGTTCTGTCGACTAGTTTATGTGGCCTGTTTTAGAGTACCTCCCATGCAGAGGTGAGAAGAATGTTTATTCTGAATAAATATTCTTGGTAAAGAATGGGACACATACTTGGTAAACATAGATTCAGTTCATTTGTTCATAGATTCAGTTCGACTTTCATATTTCTTTGCTGATTATTAGTCTAGTTCATCTATTTGTGATAGTGGGATATTGAAGTCTCTTGGGTCAATTGTGTTATTCTTTGTTGCATTATTTTCATGTCTTTTAAAAACTGCCTTATAATGTTAGGTGCTCGTGTATTAGATGCACACATATTTATGATTGTTATCTTATCCTTTTAAAAACTTTCCATTAACATGTATGTAGTGAGGCTCTTTATCTTTTTGGTCCTTCTTGGTTTGAAGTTCATATTGTATGCAAAGAGCATAGCTACTCATACTTTTTTCTGGGCCTCTGTTGCATGGAAGATTGTTTTCTGTCCTTTGACTTTCAGTCTCTGAATTTCATTTTCAATTGAACATGTTTTCTGTATACAGCATATTTTTGTATATTGTTTCTTGATCCATTTCACCCATCTATTTCTTTTGGTTGATGAGGTGTGACCATTAACAATGATATGTATTGGTTTGTCTTTGTTGTAATATTGCTCTGCTGTTGATTGTTTGCTTTTCTCCTCTGTTTAATTACTTGTCCTGCCTGGTTGTTTCTGTGTTTTTCTTGGAGTTGTGGCCACTTTTACCTCTCTCTATTATAACTTTCATTACTTTTTTTAGGGTCAGTTTTGCAGTCATACATTTCTTCAGTTTTTCTTTGTCATGGAAATATCTTATGTTTCCATTAATTTTGAAAGTTTTGTAGGATACATCAATCTGGATTGGATGTTCTTTCCTTTCAGGACTTGTACTTCTGTCCAACTTTCAGGACTTCTTCTGTTTCACCTACAGCTTTCTTCTTTACTTGGATATTTATGTTGAGAAGATTGAGGTAGTTTCATGAACAAAATAAAGGAATCAAAGCATACAAATTGATAAATTTGGAATTTGATTAATAGAACTCAGGACCACTCGTATAAATTCCCTGCCAATTTCAGAGTCCAAATGCGTGGCTGAACTGGCAACTTACAAAGCTTTTAAACAGAGAACCACAAAGTGACATCCTATTGGAAACAATCGAGCTAGAATCTTACATTATTTTTTAATTGACACCTGTATCATGTTTCTTTCATTGAGCAGGGTAATTTTTCTCCAGGTGGTGAAGCTCATTCTGCTTTTTTCACAGGACTTGTACTCTGAGTAATTTTCCATTCTCTTGGTTTAAATATAGGGCACCAGTTGAAAGCAGGGTCAAGACGATGCCAGTTATGTCAAGCTACAACAAAGAGTGCTAAGAATTTGATGTGCTTTCAATTATAAGTGATCTGTGACTTCACCCTAACCACATTTTATAATGTGTCCTTGTGCTGTATTTCTGGAATCTTGGATATTATATATCTTGCTGTAGTGTTATTTTGGTTATGTCTGTTTGGAGTTCTATACTTCAATTGTGTATGGAAAATTCTTTATTCATGCTTGGGAAGTTTTATTCCATTATATTGTGAAGTTTTTTATGGTATTTGTGCTGTCTCCGGATTTCTCATTGACCACAATCAATGTCATGCAATTCTTCTTTGATGTATTTTCTACCTGCTGGATTGATTTCTCATAGTCACTTGCTACTTTTTAGATAGAACTGTTTTCATGACAACTAGCTACAATTTTGTCTTCAAGATCTGAAATTCCAAACCTCTCTTTTTTTCAGTCTGTGCATATAATTTTAATCTCTTACAGGTTTTATATATCTCTTATATAGCACTGAACTTGTTGAACTCTTATTTGGATCTCTTTCATGTTTCCATTTCTTTGCTATGTTGGTAAACCTTTGTTTTTCATTGTTTTCCTATGTTCATCTATTCTTTTATTTGTGTGTTCTCTAATATATTTGACTTAAAGTACGTTCTTGTATCTGAAAGATTTTCTCTGTAAACTTTTCCACTTTTTTTCAATTCTGGGTGATCAATGTAAAAAATTTAGAGAAAAGTCTCTAGTTGATGGGTTTCACTATCATGCATCACATAGGATCTAATATGAATTCTGCATAATAAATAAACCATGTGTCTATCCTCAGTGTAATCAATATACACTGCAAGGAAGTTCTAGTAAAAAATATATCATAAATAACCAACAAAATAAACAGAAAAAATCCACTTCTTACTTGTGGTGAAAAAAAGAACAACTAATGATAAATCTCACACAGGAAGGACACCCTCCAGGCATCAAGCAAGGGGTCCTTCAGGCAGATGCAGGCTCAAGGACAAAGCATTAACTGTCCTCAAGTTAAGACCTTACTAATGGAGTTTCTGGGACCAATCATCCTATCATTGGAACATGCACTTTTATACTTTGTTCTATGCACAACCTAACAGAGACACATGGAGATCTCACTGTGTGCTGACTTCCCCAGATCCCCAGAAGCAGTGCACTCTTGGGGAGACAAGTGAATCCACACTGCCAATAGCTGGTGATGACTGAGTCATGGAACAAAAAGCAAAAACGAAAGGCAGGCAAATCTTCTGGAGGAGCCCTCAGTCTGGCTACAATGTCCTGCCTTTGCAGCTCTGTTCAGATCCCTGATTTCTAGCAAAGTTATCAAAACTGCTGTCTCCTCTCTGACCACAGGATACAGGCTCAGAAGTGGGTATAACAGTGAGAGCTGAAGGTTCCCCCTGCTCCTCTGTAGCTGCTGTCTAGGAGGACAAAGCTGCTTGTCCTCCTCCGTCTCCTTCCCTGCCTCTCCCACCTAGCTTTGAAGGCTGAGCTGCTGCCAGGCAATCTGGGTAGAGATGCTTAGCAGGGCCTTCAACATATATTTATCTGGTACACAGCTTCAGAGTAACTGATCATGGGAAGGAAAGTTATAGTAAAAAATGACACCTGAGTGGCAGGAATCTTGCTCTGTACATCATGATGCCAGCATCCATGTGGTGCGGATCAAAATACATAGGGTTCTTGCCACACTCCACAGCTTTTCACAACACAGCAGCCCTATTGCTGATGGCATAGGTGCTTGCCTCACACCAGTACACTGGCCTACAACCTCACTGTGCAACTGGAATCTTGGAGAGTCAATTCTGCTGTGATTCAGGAGACAGTGAGCAAGAACAGAGAGAACACAATGGAAGCCCTGCAACTAGGTGGCCAAAACAAAAGAAGAGCTGATGGTGGCCATAACCTGAGGCTGGTCATGGGACAGCATCACGTTGTACACAAGTGAGCTTTGGGCCTCTCTCTTGTTCAGGTGCTGTCCACGTCCTGACGGACCCATAGCCATGCCATTAGAAGGCTGACCACACTGCCACACCTCATAATACCATTCATTGCTCTTAGGACAGGACCGAAATGCATGAACTCAGGCGGCAGGAATTTGAACGCAGACACATTTGGGCTGGGGCACACTTATTTGTCTTTATTCCAAAGTGTAGTACAGATCTTAGGGTCCTGCTTCACGGTCTGGTGCACCCAGCATTTGTTCCCTGAGCAAATACAATTCTGCCAATATCACAGGTGTAATTTCAAAGTTACTGTGTCTACCTGGATTCTGCCAGACAGGAGCTTCTGCATTTGTCTCCCGACATAACCAAAAATATATGCATCACACAGGGACCCAAAGCTTAGGTCAGGTCCTGGGCTGCTCTATAATCAGATTGATCTTGATCCCCCAGTTCTGACCACCATGTCCTGAAGAGAACTCTAGAGCTTAGAGCCGAGAATAGAATTCCTGGTAGGCTCAGTCCCGCGTTGTGAATCAAGGACAACACATTTTGGTTCTAGTTTTTTTGTGGGTGACAACAAATCATCCATACCTGTGGGTACTGGATTCTCTCTTTGTCAAAATGTCTCGGGGAGTGCAGAGCAGCTCCCAGTCCAGCCAGGGCTAGCACAAGCCTAGATGTGTGCTCTTGAGAGGAGAAGTGTGTATAAGAGGAGGATGGAGGGATGCCTGCGGAAAGAGAGAATGGAAGCTGGAAGAAGAAGAATAAGAAAAGTCCCTGAGCTACACAATGGCTGGCACTTCATTTTGTCACCCACCATACCTTTTGGCTGATAGCATCAAACTACACCAGCTATATTTTGGGAAACTACACATGCAGTGTCTCCTCTTGTAGCTCCACTGAAAGTTTCAGAGAAGACTGTGGTGGACCAGGAAGGACCTGGGTAGACAAAGTCGGGCAGTCACACAATCTGTGTTGTGCAAATTCACTGCCGACAGAGCCAGTGTCCACTGCCACCCTGACCCAGCAACAGCAGTCCAGGAACTCCCTTCTTCAATGCAAATGTCTATCCTGATGCCCTCACAGGCACTGGGGTCCACAAATCAGAGAAGTGATGCCCACCTCTGTTGTTCCCACAGCCCCTGCACCTGCCCTTGTTTTGTGCCCTCCCTCATGGTGCTCAGCTCCCACATGGTGTCACAGAGGGGCCTGGATTTTTCCATGCTACCTGGCACTGATCCTGTGCTTCAGCTCGCTGTGCCACAGTACCAGTTCAAGTGACTCCCCTCAGGCTCAGTGAGTAAGGGAGGCCACACTCCCAGTTATATTGCTGTCATGTGTGAAATTGGGGCCATGAGATGCTATCACCCTCGACTTTCAGCCCAAAATGATGCCCATCAGAAGGTGGTCAGAGCAGCAAGCACCTGCTCCACCTGCTGCTTGGAGAACCATGTTCCAGTCCAGTTCAGGACAGCTGAGACCCTCAGTAACCTGTGCAGCACAGGGGCAGGATAGAAGTGAGGCAAATGTCCATCACAGGGCTTAGGAAATGATGCCAAGGAAGAAGAATGAAACTCAATCTCCTCTCAAAAGGTGTACTCACCAGGGATTTGGACTTTAGTTAGTCATCAATGCCATGGATCAGGGCACAGGGCATTTGGGTTTGTTCACTGTGTCTGACATATAACAGTCCTTGCAGGCACTTGGTAACAATGACCAAAGAGAATGATGTTGCCTCAATGGAAAATTCAGTCAAGAACAACCTCCAACTCTCCCAGTTTACTGATGGCCCAGGAGGAGACATTCGCAAAGCAGTTAGGGGATAGGGTTAAGCATTCATTGTTTGGGAAGGTGAGGGTTAAGGAAAATACTACTAGTAATTGCAAACACCCCTTTAAATTGTCTACTTATTTCAGATGACATCCTCAAGGTGATGAGAACCACAGAAATCATTGCTTTAGGCTGAGGACTTCACTCAGCAGCTTCAGCATCTGCCTAGAAAATTCAAGGTTGCTAGTTTGATCCATGCTACCAAAGAAACAAAAACAAAAAATGAGAAAGTACATTAAACCAAACAAAACAGCACACACACACTTGTAAGTCATTTAGAGTAAACAGTGCTTGTTAAAATCACCCTTTGAAACTGGCATAGTTATGCACAACTGCAATTCCCATACTGTAGGAATCTGAGACAGGAACATCAGAAGTTCAAACCTAGACTGAAGAATATGGAGACTCAAGAAAGAGAGAGAGAGAGAGAGAGAGAGAGAGAGAGAGAGAGAGAGAGAGAGAGAGAAAGAGAGAGAGAGAGAGACAGAGAGAGACAGAGAGAGACAGAGAGAGAGAGAGATAGAGAGATGTTAAACAGGAAAAAGCTATGCACACATTATAATATCTAGTTCTTCACGCAGAAGTGTTCTAATCCACCATTTGTTTAGTTTAGGTTTGTCTTTTTGAAATAAGGTTTCACTTTGCAGTTCAGACTAGACTTGAGCTCACTGTGTAGCTTATGTTGGTCTCTAACTTTCAAGAATCCTGACTCAGCCCCTTGAGTGCTAGGATTACAGGTGTACACCACCATGTCCAGCTTCCAATATTTTTTTAAAACACAGGCTTTAGAAAATTTTGCTAGAGGAAGACATAAAATGCACTCAAGCATGGAGTGTGGGTGCTCCAAGAGAAGAGCCACTTAAACCACCAGTTTTGATGCACAGTGCACAATGCAACATGATCTATAATGTGATTCCAGGAGAACAGGAAAGTGTCTCCCTCTAGAGGTGAGGACCTGTCCTCCCCATATGGATGTGATAGGTCTCTCCAGAACAATCCACCTGCCCTTGTGTTGGGGAGGCAGTTTTGACAGTTACCCCAGCAGCTCTCTTCAATTGCCAATAGTCACAGATCTGTCTTCACTCTGCTATTCTCTGGCAGTGTATGCTTTGGGCATTGAACTCTGCAGGATGCACCCCCAATGCTGTCCCTTTAGAGGTTATGAAACTGTGTCAGCAAAACAAAGGGGCCAGAAATATAGATTACTGAACATTTATAACAATTGTCAAGACTCTTTTGAGACATGAGCCTCCCATAATCCTGCCTCTTGGGCTGGGGGCAATGAACCAACCAGGTTGATGGCCGGGTGCAAGGAAGGCAACTGGCAGCCTGAATTTCTGAAGATGCAGGCAGATGCCAACCAATGATGATTCTGCTCTCAGTCAAATACTTACCATTCAGGAGGTCATTTAGCCCTAGTCCATGAAATTAGTGCCCTCTGGAAGAGCATGGGGTGGGTTTCAGCAGCCTCCCTTGTCTGTGGCCTGAGGCTCACAGAACAGAAAGGGAGGTTCCCCAACATCTTCCAGGTCACTCTGCCTGTCCATGGGAGCCTGGCAGGAAGTGAAAGGGTGCAGAGTACCCTCCCTGGGAAGACACTCTACCTTCTACCCAAACATTGATCACATACTAAAATCCACAGTATCTTGTGCCTGGGACACACCATACCCTGCCTGACATGGGGTTCATGCTCCAGGTGACAGAATATGGTACCCTAGGGTATGGTTCCCAATGAGCCCAGCTTCCATAGATGCCTCTGCCTTTTGGGGCCCAGGTCCACCCCTCCCCTGTTGGAACGTTTATTACCTACTGCTCTGTAATTCTGAGACTGTGAGGCAGCTTCAACACAGACAGTCATGGCCTTGGCCATGACCAAGTGCTAGGTCACAGGTTTGAGCAGCTATAGAGAGCATGGGTTGAGAGGACCACACACAGTGTCTGGGTCACTGACCCCAACACTCTATTCTGTGCACACAGGATGAGGGGGGCTTCCTTCCTGTGTAGAGAGAGCCTTGTGGGAAAGAAGCCACTGCCCAGCTACTGGCTGCAGACCGCCATCATGGTGTTCTTTGTTGCTCTGCACAGCTCCCATGGAGCATGAAGTCCACTCTCTGAATGGACTTTTCCTACTAATAATAAACTCCAAGCACATCAGGAGCCTGACTTTGACAGAAGCTTACTGTTTGGGGCTGAGCATCCCTGAGCCTGGATCTTTTCAGTGTGGTGTTTGGTCAGTCAAGGTTCCCCACGATCTCACAAGTCAAAGGCCTGGTATCACACAGTACAAGGCTTGAAAGGTGGCCTGTGAGACACAAGGTCTATTGCAGGTCTCTATTTACACAGGGCCAGCACTGCTCCTCTGGGAATCAGATGCATGGTCTACATGGGAAATCGGTTACACTCAGCTGAATTCAGCAATGTGAGCAAGAATTCCTGAGGCTGAGAGCATGGGGACATATAGCAGGTTGGGTCTCTTGTGTGCTGTCTTAGTTACTTTTCTCTTGCTGGTGAGACAAAATAACAGACACCCAGATTTTAAAGGGGGAGGGTTTATTTAGTTCACAGTTTGGAGATGTTTCAGGTCATTACCTGCTGGCTTCAAGGCAGGGTGGGACATGGCAGAGGGCAACAGACCATGGAAAATGGTAAATACAACAGGTGAGGAGGGGAGAGGAAGTCTCCTTTCATCCCTTACAATGTAAGCAGGTACCAACCCTAGGGCAGGTGTTCCACAAACACCCTTAATCTCAGCATTAGACCATGAATCCATCACAAACTTAGTTTCAGCGAATTCTGGAAAAAACATGCTCCTGTGACTACATGAGGCTTTGGGGGTACATCCAGACACAAAATGTAACATGTGCAATATATATACTGCCAGTAAGAGATGGTATAGCCTTTTGACCTGGCTCTAAAGCAGGGACTTCAATCCAGAATCTTGGTGCTCACTGCTTAATATCTCAAGAACCATCCTGTGTACATAAGAAGGTCTGCTGCCCAAGAGCCCACTCAGGTGGCCATGAGTCACCAGCAAGAAACAGGAATAGAGATGGTGGTGTTTCAGGCTTTAGATGCAGAGCAGAGGCCAGGCATCCCAGGTAGAGGGAATCTCACTAGGGCTCTGAGGAAGGTGACATGGGGGCTGATAAGTGAGCCTGAGCTGGTCCAGGGTTTTGGGAACCACAATGTAAGAATAAATTCTAGATGGGGAGGGGAAGGTGGAGGAGATCCACTTCCAGAAGGACCCAGCCTGGCTTTCCCACCAGGCCAGCAAGCCCCAGGTGCTATCTGAAAGGCTGCCATGGGGAACTGCAATAAAGGACCTGGTTCATCATATGCCTGGTGGCTTTTGTGCTGTCACTAGAAAAGTGAATACTTTCCCACTTAGGCAATCCCAAAGGAGACAAAGTGAGACCTCCCGGTCTGCTGCCTGGCTGGCTCGTGGCTTTGAGGGCTTCTTGGATCATAAATGCTAGCAAACACCTCTTAGTGACTATCTGCTCTGTGGGCCTGGGTGTGCCTACCATCCGTACCATGGGGGAGCAGGGTTATGAGACAGGGTGTGGCCCCTCCAAGCTCACTGTGCAGGGCAGACCCTGCAGCTCTATGTGCAGCCTGTGCTTCCAGAAGCTGCCAGGTCTCTGTGCTGTATTCACATCTCTGGGAGGCTTTGTGGGAGTCCTGATGGCCCTATTCTCTGCTGGTCTGAAATCTCAGAAGCTTCTCCCACACCACTAGGCACTGCACCAACTGTTCTGCCCCAAACATCAGCCTGGAGCAGGTCCCTGCAGGGGTGCAATGCACATAGATGTACCACTGTGGGGCCTCCCAATAACAGATGCCAGCAGGGGGAGAGTGTGAGCTGAGAGGACTCTGTAATGAAGCCACAGGAGGACAGGGGATCTTCAGGATCAGATTACACCTTCAGAACCTCCCTCCAGTGTATAGTAAATAGCAGGCCTGTGGTACTGCCTCCAAAGGAACCTGGGGTCTATGTCTTCAACTATCACATCCTCTCTGCTCAGCCACTAATTCGGCCATGTGCCAGGTCACTCTCCACACAGTAGTGCGAGCATCAAAATAGAGCCATGGACACTAACTCACTTCACTTCCTGTCATGATTTACTTCCACTATTTTAGTTCACTGTAACTCCTGGGCCCAGCTATCCCTTTGGCAGTCACATGACTGTGTTTCTACCATATTCCCCGCTCTGACACATCATCACATCAGAAGAGGTGCACTCATCCAAAACCTAGGCCCTTGCTACTTTGTCCATGTCTCAGGGTAAATATACAGCCCCTCAGGTTAGAGGTTAGTGGCCCACTAGGCTAAATGACATTGTACCAGGAAACAGTGAATACAGCCACTCAGCGTTTCATGGCTAAGAAAACTGGACCAAATTTTTGCAGCAGCACCACAGGGAAGTACCCTGTGAGTCATCACATACAGGTCCCCATTCCCATACTCAGGACAAGCCTGCTTTCTCATCTCTAGAATGTGTTGTTGTCACAGGACACATGGGATGATACTTTTCATGTAGGGAGTTTATGACTTATTTGCTAACAAACTGATCTGAAAATGCTATCACTTCTAAATGCTCCTTATGAAATTTAACCTTTGAGTATCACTGCAGCTTCCAGCACTCACGGTGGGGCATGGCTGGGCCACTAACTCTAGGCTTCCTACTGTCTCATCACAGACTGCAAATCACTCAGTGTAGAGTTTGGCAGTGGTCTGCACAGTGAGGGTGGCACAGGCAGAAGGGCTGCACAGCCTGATAGAGCCCCTGGAACAGGACTTTCTGCACAGCTGCCCTGTCCACAGCTCTTCCTTCCCAGGTCCCTCAAGGGCCAACATTTCCACCGCACAGGCCCCAATGCTGGGATAGTGAGTTTGCTCTCAGCTGCACAGTGTGACTCAGCCACCTAAAGCTGAGTCTTTGAAATGTGCTTAAATCTCTCAGCCTCACTTCACTGAGAACTGAGAATTATACCCAGGATTAGGGCAATTCTCAGAACAGTGAATTGTACCTATGGACAAGCTTATAGGTCCCTATTGTACAAAATGGGGTTTCCAGGCAATTGCTGATGCCAACCAAGGCTCTATGGAAGGCCTGCTGGAGTAGCTGTGTTTATTCTCCATTGAGCTGCCCTCTCCATGGGAAAGGTTTGTTTTTCCCTCACTGATCCCTACCTTGAGTAAACATTCTCTCTTCCTTGTAGAGGAGATTGGAGAGTTGCTCTATGGGCTTTCAGATGTATTATTCAGAGCCATATTCTCTGGGGACTGGCAGAGGCATCAGGCCCATTCAGACATCAGGGCAGGAACTAGTTGGTACCATGTGTACATGAATATACATAGAGCCACACCACGCACAGACACTTTCCAGGCACTGACCATGATCCAATGACCAGGAAAGATATATGTACCCACCTCTTGACCTTCCACATTAGTGAGGGCTATCCTGGATGGCAGATCATGTATCACTGACATTATAGTACATGAGATGCCCTCTTCGATTCCCTAGACATGGATGCACAACAGTGAAAGAGGAGTCCAGAGAAAGCACAGAGTACTGGGTGGAAAGTCACTGAAAAATCTAATGACTGAGGAGAGGTGGGACAGGACACATCTCTCTGTCCTCTCACTTCTAACGTACTTATGGAAGACAACCCCTTTACCACAGCAGACAGTTTTCCATCCCCCATGAAAGCAATATACCACTGGAGAGCACTACAAAGATGTGTGTACAGCTTCCCTGAAGAAGAGAGAGATGGTCACACCAGTGTACACAGACTCTCCCATGGAGTCATCTATCATTCTCCCAGGGCTGTCTGGACCAAGACTAATTCACTGGTGGTGGAGATAGAGTGGAACTGGGCTCTCCACAGCTGGAGCAGCAGGCAGGTGTCTAACTCAGCAGGTTGCCTTGGGCAAGCAGTTTGGGATTGAGGACTAGACCTCACACTCAGCTCCCCACACCTGTCTCCTCCAGAACCACAGCCTTGCTTCTTAGCTCTAAGCAGCAGCTGCAAACCCACATGAACCCTCCAATGCAGCTTCACCTTGCTGAGCTTGAGCATTGTGAACAAACTGAGGCAGAAAAAAGGGTGATGAGGACTGGTAAGGTCTGTGGGTATGTGAGGAGGACAAGGCTAAGGTACCACCCTGTAGCTCTGAAACACACAGGAATCAGTGGGTGGACGCAGTGTGAGAAACTTCCGGATAGTGGATTTGTGCACAGAGCTGTCTCTGACAGGCACTGGGAAATTTGTTTGCACTGCAAGGAACATGGGAAATTGGTGATCTTTTTCCCTTTTGCTGTTGAAGGGTCAGCTGCACACCAAGCTCATGGACCAGCTGCAGAGTCTGCACCTGATCCATCTCCAGTGCCTTCACCAGCTCTGGGTCCACGGGAAGAGCCAGCACCAGGAAGCCCATCTGTCAGCTCAGAGGTATGACTAACAGGGTCTCCACAGCAGGTGGCAGGTCCTCAACTCCCCTGAGGCCAGCTCCTGCTGAAAACCTGAGTTTCCCATCTCCTCCACTATTTTTTCCATTTTCTTGCCCTTACCTCTATACTCCTTTTAAATATTATGGCATAAATTAATTTTAAACAGATGATAGGATGTCATTCACTTTAATTAGCATACACAGTGCAGTGGCATGCACACATTCTCAATATGAACAATCTTCAGTTTTGCCCAGTTCCAGAACATTTCCCACAACTTCATTCATATTTGGACACATTTCCCTCTCTTCCCTGCCAGCCCCAGCCACCACTGATCTTTCTGCCTCTGTGATTTAGTACTCTAGGTTTTCACATCAGTGCATCACAGCTCTATTTGGCCAAGCATTAATGGAAGAGACTAACTATTTTTCTTTGATAAAGGGGACAGTCCCAAATAGATCCCAGTTTATAAATAAAACCTAAATACATTCATCTTTGAGGTTGGAATTGCTTTTCCATTTGTTTTGTGAGGTAAGAGACAAATAATTGCAGTGCAAAAGGGAATCTCCTCATATGGCCAACAAATGTACAAAATGCACAGTATCCCACTGAAGATACATTCTGGGCCATGTCACTGAGTTGTGCTGTGTCCCCATTTGACTTCAGGTTTTAAGGTAAGTGGGGAACAGCAGTGGGGAGAAAATGGGGTGGAGGAAGCAGAACCATTTCCCTCAGCTCCCATCCGAGCTCTACACAGGGTCCCTGGACCTCTCTGAGCTAATTATAGAGGTTTCTCCCACACAGAGAGCTCCACAACAACACAAAAAAAAAATAAAGAAAAATCTGCATAACATTTTAACTTTCTTTTCAAGTTGTTCATAGCACTTTTAGAAAATGAAGGAACTAGGACCCTCCCTATCCTGCAGGTAGAGTGTGCAGGGCACCAGTGTAGGCCACAGAAAGCAGGGAAAGCTTCAGGAAAGCTGAGCTCAGTATCTCTGGGCCCACAGAGAAAGAGGCCAAGGAATTTGATCATGAAATTACCATTGATGCAAGATGCATTTGTGTGTGCAAGATCTCAGTTTTTACAATGAAATATCTCTGCCATCAATGTGCATACACACATAGATGTGCGTGAGACAACCAGAGGGACAGAGGCAGAGTGAGGCAGAGCCTGGGAGACTTGCCCATCACTTAATGAATGGAGCTGCAAAGGACTGGAAATGTGAATGCTCTTCTTGGTTTTACTCTCAAGTTCCTTTATCATACAATGTCATTGTTGGGTGGTGAAGTGGCACAGGGAACTAACACAAACCTGGTGACATAGATAAATATACCAAGATTTTCTTCTTTTCTTTTTCTAAATCTGTCATTTGTAATAAGAGAGCATATATTAATGGCATACAAATAGTTCTCCAGTACCAGAGTCCTCCATGGGCTTGTCATTCGCAGGCTCAGAGGACAGAAGTAGGTTGCGAGAAGCAGAGCAAGGTCCATTTAAAGGTGGAAATGGCATTTTCCCTTAGTTGAAAAAAATGTCACCTGAGACAACTTACTTAAACCAAAGAGAGACGCCACCTCTTCCCAAGGTTTGTGTGTGGCAGGGAGGCAGCACAGAGTACAAGTTTGGGTAGGAAGAGAGCCAGGGCTCAGCAGTGTGAGACGGGATCACAATGTACCTATCAGGGCCATTAGCATGAGTGGTCTGCCATCCATCAGCTCCTGTCTCCTGTCATTGCCTGCTGTGAGGGCCTGTGTCTCTTCACTGCTGGATGGAGAGAGGGCCAAGCCATAAGCTTTCTCTCATCTCAAGTAAAACTGGGGACATGGCCTAGAACATGGCCTTCTTTCAGCATTTTCTGTGCCTGTAAATTTATAATTCACTCAGCAGTTTTGCTGTGTGCTATGTTCATGGTTTCTAATTTTTCACACCTTAACTGAGTAAAAAAGAATATGGGTGTCTTTCAATCTCACTTTTTATAATGAAGACTTAGCAGTACATTTTCAGGTTAAATGTATAGATGTTGACTGACCTTTGAAAAGGTCAGTCTGTTACACAGCCAATACTGACTGAATGTCTTCCATCCAGGTGCAGATCTCAACTTCCCCATGTGGATGCACCACAGCTGTGGAGCAGGACAGGTGTTTACACGGGGCAGGTTAGGAGGTGGGAACACTGCAGGCAGGTCATTTTGTGAGCCCTGAAATAAGAGACAGGCACCTGATCAGCTCCAGTTTCCTTCAGCAGTAAGCACCCAACAAGAACATTTTACATTAAAAGTCTAAGTAACTGAAAGAAGTTACTTCCAAAAATATATACTATAGGATTAGTTGGAAGATACAAAAGTAAATGGCTTAATCCCTAAGTAAAATGAGACATGACCCTTAATAGGAATGTGGTTTCCTTTGGTGTCACTGACCCACATCCATCAGGAACAAACACACTGATGAATAGAGCACAAATGAATATAGGCAATGTGTCTACAATCAAAACTTATTAATAACAACAACAAAACCCATGATAAGATAAATCACTCAGTGAATATTTCAAGCATATAATAAAGAATAAATAGCAATCACTTTTGGATTCCTCCTAGAAATTGAAGGGAAAGAGCCAACACCAACTTCTTTTAGATGACAAAGTCATGCTGAGAGTGAAGCCAGACAATAATGTATTGAAAAATAAAATACAGAGCTTTTGCATTTAGCTCCACTACATTCCACTTTTAAAAGTCTTCCTTTTGGACTTTTTTGTTTTATTGGTAACAGGGATTGAACTCATGACTGCCTGCTTGCAAGGCAAGTGCTTATGCCGCTGAGCTAAATCCCAGCCCCAAAAGTCTTCCTTTTTTTGAGGAGTTTCTCAATAAGTTGCTAAGTTGGTGAATCTATCCTTGAATTTATGATGTTCCTGCCTCAGCCTTCCAGAGTGATAGGATTACAATTGAATACACCCTACTGACCAATATCCCTAATGAACATAAGCAAGATTATTCAGCTAAATGCTTGTCAGATAAATTTGCAAGCACATGCAAAATTTAAGCACCATGATCAACACTGGGCTCCATCTCAGTGATGCAACTACCATCCAACTATAAAAACCATGGAGCATCACTTGCTACTTTCACAGAATGAGACAGAGATAACCCTTCAATAGATTTGGAAAAATAGCTTTGAGAAATTCTGAAGTTCAACATTTTGTCATGGTAAGAACTACTCACACACCATGTATAGGAAGAATGGACCTCAGCACAGCAAATATGATACATGAGATGCCCATCCCTGACATCGTGCTCAGAGGATGACAATCTGAAAGATTTTCTTCTCAGATCAGGAACCAGGCAAGGCTTGCAGCAACTTTCAACACAGTATTCCAAGTTCTAGCCCTAGAATTTACTCAATAATAATAAATTAAGGCTTCCAAATCAGAAAGAAAGAATTAAGCACTGTTTCTGTTTCCTGAGGACACAACTTTTCATATAAAACTTTCATTTTATATCTCCACTGAAAACCTTTTAGAACAAATTCAAAAATCACATAAGGTGCAGGGTACAAGATTCACATATCCTAAACAATTCATATCTATGTGATTCAAACAAACTGCAACCTCAAATACAAAGAATACAATTCATTTCACAATTCATCAAAAAGAAGTAATGCTTAGGAAAAATTTAACCAAACTCACATGTTCTTTAAAAATTGTAGATTTTGATGCAAGCAGTACAGTAGCACTAACAGAATAAAACGCATACCATGATGGCAGATGGGAAGAATTCATGTTATTATAGTGTACATGCTAACCAGATCAACCAGCCCTTTCAAAGCATTCTTGTCAAAATACCACTGATATTTTCCTACAAATCAAAAAACAATATGAAAATTCACAAGGAAGTACAAAGTGTCATCCTCTAGCCATGTAAAGACATTAAACACAGAAGCACAAAATACCTGGTTTCCAAATATAAAGTGGCAGCAGTCAAAAGCATCTTATACTGAAAGAATAGGATCACAGATGAAAATGACTAGCCCAGAGGCAAACCAACTCATAGAGTCTGCAGGAATTTGGATTTGTTTCTTCATTCCATTCCTGTATTTTCCTTTTCTTTTTCTTTTCAGGTTCTCCCTCTGTCTATCTGCCCTGAGCTGAAATCAGAGTGTGTTGCAGGCTTGTCTGGAACTCCCAGTATTCCTGCTGCCCCAGCAGCCTGACTTTGCAGGTATTTCCCCCCATTCCTTGCTCAGTCAGTGAGTTTTTAATAACACCAGGATGAAACCACGTCTGCTGGTGTGTCTTGTAATGCTATCACTCTGGAAGGCTGAGGCAGGAACATCATAAATTCAAGGATAGACTCACCAACTTAGCAACTCATTGAGAAACTCCTCAAAAAAAGGAAGACTTTTGGGGCTGGGATTTAGCTCAGCGGCATAAGCACTTGCCTTGCAAGCAGGCAGTCATGAGTTCGATCCCTGTTACCAATAAAAACAAAAAAGTCCAAAAGGAAGACTTTTAAAAGTGGAATGTAGTGGAGCTAAATGCAAAAGCTCTGTATTCAATCTCTAGAAACTGAATGGAAACTCTAAACCATACCCAAAACAAAACCTTGGAAAGTAGAAGGGAAGGCAACAATGCTTTATCCTGGCCTGGCCTTCTGGAGGGCAGTGCACCCCAAGTAGCTTTAAACTTCACAACTTTCTTGGGATTTAACCCCAATCATCAATTTCCATGAGTGATCAGAGAAAAAGAGAAAGTGCTTCGGGGATATCAAGCCTCAGTCCCCCTGCAGAAGGCATTTGGAGTAATCTTCTGAAGTGCATGCTGACCACAGTTACAGTTAAAAAGCAGTGACTCTACCAATATTGTTAATTGGATTTTCATTCCGACTCATTGTGAAAGAAACTGCAGATTAGGAAGGTGGTAGATAGCTTAACTAGATGGATTTTTTCTACAAAGTCTAAAGATCAAATTCAAATATTTTATTCCATGAGTATGCAAAATTGTTTGCCAACTGCTGACTCAGAATAATGTACACCTGTAATCCCAGCCCTCTGACATCATGAAGAAGGATGATGAAGGGTTTAAGCCTTGCATTGGAAACTCAGAAAACTGGAGAGACTATGTCTTAAAATCTTTAAAAACAAAATTTTACAAATGTATGAAATTATTGATCATTAAGAAATCCTAGAAATCACTGTGCAAGGTACATTAACCACTGTTATTCTACAATTATTTTATTTTATATAGAGTTAAAAAGAGTATCTTTTATATGGTCCTTATGATTATTTCAAAAAAATAGCAATCCCTTGATCAACTTCTGATTATAAATATAAATTTAGGAGAGGAAAAAAAGCAATGATCACATTCTCTTCACACTGAGCTACCCAAATCCTAAGAAAGTATATTCAGTAGCATATCTGCAGTCATCTCTGTAAAATACTCAAAAAAATTAAAACAGTGCAAACCTGGAAGCACTTCAATGTCTACATAATGGTAAACCTTATGCTAGGTGTGCTGAATAAAGTACATTTGCAAGAAAAACTCACATATGTTTTTATTCTGAATTCACCGGTGATATTTGACTTTGTATTTTTAAACTTTTTAATTTTTCTCTTTTTTTTTCTCTCTTTCTTTTTTTCTTTCATTCTTTTTTTGAGATTGGGTTCTGCTATGCAGTTGAAGCTGGCCTTGATCTACCCTTGTAGCACCGGATGACCTCAAACTTACGACAATCCCCCTGCCTCAACCTCTGAGAACTAAAATGACAGATGTGTACCAACATCACTGAATGTGTTTTCCTTTTAAAATTTTCTCCAAAATAACTTAATCAGAGTTATGTGATATTCTTATATTTTCTCAGGTTGAATATACAAAATCAAATCAGAAACCACAGAAAATACAGTTTCAAAATCCTCACCAACATACAACATAATGTAACATAATATAGCATAGCACAGTACACCATAATAAAACAAAACAAAAAGCAACCACTTAACTCTGCTTTAAACCACTGCTTCCAAAGATACTTTAAGAATTTCTAAGCCATAAACTATACTGTAATGCATTAATTTCACATTTAAGTAGTTTTTCTTTGAAATGAAAGACTGCATTCACTCAAGCCCATATGTAAGAATGGCTGTGGCAGCTTGCTTTCAAGGGTTTACCCAGAAACAGAAGAAATGGACATCAGCAGATGGGTGAGGGGTGTATGAACAAGTGATAGCTGGTTTTGTTCAGCCCCCCAATAGCATGTGGTGGCAGCACACTGGGAGCCCAGGAGGGATACACTGCTTAAAGGAGACCAACCCATGAGCATTTTGCCTGATCAGCCTCAGGGCCATCACCTCTAGGAAAGACAAACTACCCAGCAGGGACACAAAGCCCATGGTGTGTTTGGGATGGGAGGAATGGAAGTGATATCAGTGGCTATGAGACAAGTTCCCCAGGAGTGATGTGCATGTGTCCTTCCTCAGCATGGGATGATGATTTCCATTGCCTTGGAAAGCCTCCCCTTGCAATCACCACCTGCTCTCCCCTCCACAGGATATCATAGTATGGAGCTACAGTGTGTGGCTGAGTTAAATATCTAAGGATGAATAAGTAATCACTCATAGGCCCATGAGAGTAAAACTTGTTAGGAATCCTCATCCCCTGGACAGGAGGAGGTTATAACATGAAATATTCACATACTTCAAAGAAAATTATTATGGTTATTCTGGCAACATCTTTATACTCCCTAATGGAGTTGAAATGAAAGTAACATAAGCCAAGGAAAGAAACTCATCCTAAAATTTGACAGATCTTTAAGTGAAGCCTAATTCTCAATGAAAAAGACTTTTTGGATGGAAATGTGCACTTGGCACCCAGCCTGCCACTTCTGAAGCATCTACATGTCTGTTGTATGAAGTATTTCAAAGTGAAGAAAAGTATAAAACCGCATTCTGTTTTCTAGTTTTTCACTTGCCATTTCTAAGGAACACAAATTTGTTCCACAATAAAAAGAAAGGAGGCATCAGAGGGGGCAGCCCAGCTATGGACACCAGCACATGACACAACTTACTTGGCAACACGTCTAAATAGAACTTAGAAGGTTCTGGACACCAGGCACCTTTTTCTGGTGTCAGTTGACCTTCACCAGCACTTGGCTCATGAGAGTGACCAGTGAATATGCTGTGCTGCTTTCTGAGGCTTTGAAGCCCCAGCCTCTTGACCCTGCATGGGAAAACCACATGCAAATGAGTGAAAGGATGGTTCACTGGGCCAAGATGTTTCAGGAAGCTCACTGGGAACTGCCTAATATCAAGGGCAGCACAGGGCAGGGCCCAAGAGCCCCAACCCCCAAGACATCAGAAACAAGAGGGAGCCCAGGACAGGTGTCCCTAGGCTCAGCCACCAGCCACTCAGATACCCAACTAGAGGACAGTACATTAAGTCCTGGCCACCTTTGTGAGTTCTCCTAAACAATTCCCATCCTAAACAATCAGTGTAAGGGCTCTGAGGACAGGCAGTGAGGGCAGATGCTCTGGGGCAGGAGCAGGTGTTGGGAAGTGTGAGCCTGTGCTCCTGTCATGTTCCTACCCAGGACAGGGCTGGCAGGAGGAGAAGGACAGTGCTCATGCTTATCCAAAGCCTCCAGAGTCATCTCCTGTCCTCCTGGGTAGAAGTCTCGGACAGAGCTATTAGTCTTTGAGGAACATAAGGTTATCTGGGTTCACAAAGTGAAACCTGTGGTGTCTCAGAGTCTCAGGCTTCCTGTTGAATGCTGGGCACTGCCCCAACCATGCTGCACACAGGACATTGGCATGGAGGTGGCCCCTGGGCCCTGTGTGCCACATCCCTGCTCCAGAGACGGGACCCACAATAACAAGAGGTATTGGCTCCAGTGCAGAGTATGTGAGCAGAAGGGAATGTATGGAGGCCCACACATGACTATGAGAAACTTTGGGTCTGATTAACCCTTCCAACACCTCCATCAAGGGCTTGTCAAACACTAGGCCAATGGTCTTGCTCCCAAGGAATCTGGATTGCAAATGCTCAACTACCACACCCTCTCTACTAAGCCTCTACCTTGTCCCAGGCAAGGTCACTGTACGCATATTCATGGAAGAGGAGAAAGGGGACAGACACAAAATCATTTCATTTCTTGTCATGAATGAATTCTGCCATTGTACCTCATTTTCTGTACTGGGCCTGGTGTCCAAGGACCATTAGCAAGGTGTCTTCACCAACTGTCTCCAGCTCTTACACAGCATCACCTCACTAGATGTGTGCTCACCTCAAATGTCAGTCCACTCTGTTCAATTCTCTGGCACTTGTCTCATGGGATTTTTCCATGCACTACAGGTCCTTTGGTAGGAGCCTCTGGGCTAAATGAGCACAAGAAGAAAGCAGTGAGCACAGTGGCTCAGCCTTCCATGGCTATAGAAGATGAACTTAATTCCTTCCTGGGGACTTTTCATCATAATCTTGGGAACATTCTGCGGTGCCTCATTAATGGACCTGAACATCCAGAATGAGCCTTTTTTTCTCATCTCTAAACTGGGGGGGAGGTGCCATCTTAGGACTCATAGGTTTTGTTCATACCTAGACTTCTGTTCAACCTCTCTGTTGAGGTGATCTGAGCATGCTAGTATTTATAAGTTTCCCTTGTGAAATGTAAGTTTTAATAAGAGAATCCCTTTTTTTCAGGGCCCTCCTGTGAGCCCATTACCACTAGCCTCTGCAGACTAATTGGAGTGTGGGCTTTGCTTCAGCCCCAAAACCTCCTGAGAAGCCATGTGCAGGACACCAATTCCATGTCTACCCACAGTCTCAGAAGTCAGGCAGCAGAGAAACGGGTAGAGGTCTGTACAGGAAGCACGGTGCAGGCAGATGGGCCTCGCAGCCTGAAGGAGCCTAAGGAGCCAGCCTTCTGGATAGATACCCCAGGCACAGCCTCTCCTCTTTGGACTCCTCCAGGGCTGACCTCTCTACCAAAGCTGAGAAGCTGAGTTCTTACCTTAGCAGCCCAGTGGGAATTGGTCACCTGTGGATTCAGGTCTTGGCCCTATGCAAGGGCCTCACTCTGCCCTAGTTTATAGTGCCAAACGGGTTGGGACTCAGTGGATTGAGAGCTTAGGGTCACTGAGGATGAAATGGGGGATCCATCCCAAGCAGTTAGCTGTGGCCCCATGAAGACCTGCTGTAGAGGCTGTGATAATTCTGATGGATGATCTTCCATGCCACTCAGTGACCAACACTTGGTCGATGCAGTTCTGTTCATCGGAAAGGAGATCAGAGATTCACTCTGTGGACTTCAGGGTTTGTTCAGTACAGGAAATCTTGAGAATAGCAAATTGTCCATGGCTGTCAGACAAATAGGAAGAACAGATAGGTGTTACCAACCCACAATTGTATATGAAGACACACTCTGTGCAAACACTTTTCTGGGTATTAACCATGATTCTGTAAGCAGAGCCAGTGGAAGCATTGCCCTTTTGAGTTTCGATGTTTGTGGGAGGCCACAGAGTAACCCTTGGCAGCAGAACATATATTGCTCACCTCAAGGCCATTTTTCCAGTCTCCAGGCATCCCTAGTTGTGGGTACAGACCATGCACAAGGAGTTATACAGAGGCAAAGAGAACTGGGCAATGAATGCATCACTGCCTGCGCTAGAGACTGCAAAGATGCAGGACAGACACTGATTGATCCCTCACTTCTCAGATATTCATGGAGTGGCAGCCCTGAGCCCTTCAGTGCAAAGACAGGGCAGATTGCAGTCTCTACCTTCTCTAAGCTGACTTTCACTGGGGAGGGGCAGGGAGATACTGTGTCAGGATTCCCTGAAGAATGTAAATGTGTGATAAAACTAAGCAAGGTCTCCCTCCCACAGAGACTTCGTTCAGCCACTAAGGGCTCCTTGGGCCCTCACTGCCCAATTGTGGGTGGGTGAGGATGGGGCTGGACATTGTATCAACTGGGCAGGAGGTCCAAGAACCCCTCTCTACAAGTGAGATGTGCAGGCATTGTTGGAGGAAAGCCCAGGTCTCTCACTCTGCTGGTTCCCTGTCTACCCCAGTTCTTCTGTGCTTGAGGCCACATTGGAAATATACGCCCATGTGGATCCCCAGGCTGAGCTTCTCCTGGACCAGCTGGAGCCCCAGAGACTGAGCCACAGGGTAAATATCTCTGGAGTGTAGGATGTAGGGTTGTGGGGAGGTGATGCCTTGGAACTCAGCAAAGTGCCCAGATGCTGGGTGACCCAGGAGTATGACACACTCAGCAGTCGGTGTGGGGATGCAGTCAGGAGGCTTTCCTGGGGCTGTGTTGGTGCACATGACTGCCTTTGACAGCAGTGGGAAGGTTTTGCCCAGGAAGTCCATGGAAAGTTGACAATCTTTTCATTTCCTGCAACTACAGGGCCAGGCTCAGCCCATGCAGAAGCTGCACCTGCAGACTTTATGCCATCTCTACTTGCAGCTCCCTAACCAGCTGTGATTTCAGAGGAAGAGCCAGTACCTGGATTCCTTTGTCCAACAGCTGAAGTTCTGAGCCTCCTGGTGGCTCCACTCAGGAGTCATATCTCGAGCTCTAACTGCGGGCAGCTCTTGACCCACACCTGCCCTGCCCCTCTCGTCCAGATTTAATTACTATTGTTTTCACAGCTACATTTATTTACATTTAGTTAGTGATAAAACAAATATAGATAAAATTTAAGATTTTAGGGTTATTTAAAATAATCAGCTTGCTGACATTCATTGCATTCTCAATGTTAAGCAAATTTCCCAAAGTCCCCTTCCAGAATATATTCTTCAAATTTTTACACAATGGTGTTTTCTTTCCCCTCTTGCCCCATCCCAGCCACCACTGATTATATGTCCTCATACTTAACTTATATTACATTTCCCACATCAATGCCATAAAGTTTTCTTTGGCCAGGAATGTTGGTAGTGACTATCTTGGGTTAGAGTTAGGTTTAGGGGTAGGTTAGACTTAGGGTTAGGGTTGGACTAAACTCCCAATTATTGCATCATTATCCACTGTATTTGTCATAAAGAAAGGACAATCAAGACAAAGCAGTGCCTTATGCTGGCAATATCTTGGCCCTGAGCTGTGTGCTCAATGCACAAACTTTGAGAGCAGTCACTAGTGGTTGGATTGTACCACTGTGCAAAATATAGGGCCCAATATGCACTCTGTGCACCACATGTGCCCTGGTCCTAACACCAACATAATCAGTATACACTGTAAATATGTAGTAAGGAAAAATATATAGTTATCTGTAAACAAAGCACAAAGCAAGAAAATCCACTTCTGACATGTGGGGAAAAAAAAGAGCTACTGATGAAAAATCTCACACAGGAAATACACGCTCTCCTTGGCCAGCAATATTTCCTTTGTGCAAATGCAAATCTGTAGAACAAAGCATCAGCTGTCCTCAGTCTACGTCCTTGCTAATGGAATTTTTGTGGCTAATCCTCCTATCATAGTAACATGCACTTTTATACTTTTGTCTATGCACAACCTAGTAGAGACACATAGAGGACTCACTGTGTGCTGGGTACCAGAGCTCTCCAGATGAAGATCACACTTGGGGAGGCAATGAAACTCACATTGCCAATGGCTGGTGATGACTAAGTCACGGAAAGAAGGTGAAAACCAAACACAGGCAAATCTTCTGTAGGAACACTCAGTCTGGCTCCCAAGTCCTGTATTTGTAACTCAGCTTAGACCCCTGATTTCTATCAAAGTGATCAAAACTGCTGTCTCCTCTCTGGCCTCAGGATACAGGCTCAGAAGTGGGTGTAATAGGAACAGCTGGAGGTGCCCTGGCCCCTCTGCAACTGCTGTCTTGGAGAAAGACTCTTGTCTTCCTCCACCTCCCTCCCCTGCCTCTCTCACTACATTTTGAAGGCTGAGCTGCTGCCCAGCAGTCTGGCTGGGGATGCTCAGCAGGGCCTTCAACATAGTTTTATCAGCATAGTTTTATATGTGACATACTGTGTCACATACACACAGCTTTCCAGTAAATGGTCTTGAGATAGAAAGATGTAGTAAAAAGTGACAGCTAACTGGAATGAACCCTGCTTTATACACAAAGGCCCCACATCAATGTGGTGGGGGAGGAAATATATTAGGTTCTTGCCCCCCTCCATGGCCACTCAAAACTCAGCTGCCCCATTGCTGATCACACAGATTCCTGCCCCACCCTACCACACTAGGCTAAATCCTCACCGACACCAAGACCAGAAAACTCGGTGTTTGTTTCTGGAGCCAATAGGCAGGAAAGTGGAAACACAGTGGTGCCTGGCAACTAGATGGCCAGACAGAAAAAAGAGATGACAGTGGCCATGACCATCTTACCTGAGGGTCAGTCACTGATATGGAGGCATATTATGCACAGGTGAGCCTTGGGCCATCTCCTTTCCAGGTACTCTCCACTCTTGAAGGACCCAGAGACATACAAATGGCAGGGTGATGACACTGTCATGCCTTTATAACACAGTCATTTGGTTTGGGACACAACAGAGATGGATGGTAACAGTTGGGAAGAATTTATCCCCAGACACTGTTGTGCTGGGGCACCCTTATTTCCCTTCCTTCCAATGTGTGGTCCAGAGATCAGGGCCCTGCTTCTATGTGTGGTGCACATAGCCTTTGTTCCTTAGCCAGATCCAATTCTGCCCATCCCACAGGAGCCATTTCAAAGTTACTGTTTCTACTTGGATTGTGCCAGACAGAAGCATCTGCATTTGTCTCCCCACATATCCAGATATTCATGCATCACATGGTAACCCACAGATTAAGTCTGCTCCACAGATAGGGATTTCCAGACTGACCTTGAGACCTCAATTCTGAGCACCATGTTCTGAGGAGAACTTCTAGAGCTGGGAGCTAAAATTAGGGGCTCTTCAGTCATAAGCCCTGGACCAAGTGCAACACAGGCTGGACCCAGCTTGTCCTAGGTGATAACAAATCAGCCATACTTGTGGGAACAGGATTCTCTCTCAGACAGAATGGGATGGGAGGGGCACAAAACAGCCCCTAGGCCACCCAGCTTTGTACTTTTAGGAGGAGAATGGAATATAGCAGGAGGAGGGAGGGGTGCCTGAGGAATGAGGGAATGGAAGATGGAATAACAGTAGAAAATGGCCCTGAGTTACTCATTGAGGGACACCTGATTTTGTTACTACCATACCTTTTTTTTTACCATTTGTTTATCAGTACCAGGTATCGAACTCAGGACCACACACTTGCAAGGCAGGCGCTTATGCCGCTGAGCTAAATCCCCAGCCTCCACCCACCATACCTTTTGGGTGACAGCAGACAACAGTGACACTTGACTTTGGGCAGCTACACATACACTGCCTCCTCCTGTGATTCCATTCAAAGGTCCAGGGAAGATTGGAGTGGGCAGTGGGGGCCCTGTGTAGACAAAGGTTTGTAGCGGAATGACAAAGACAGCGTGAGAGGATGTCCTGGGCATGTGGTAGTGGTAAACACTCTGTGTTGCTCAATGTGGCTACTTGACACAGCCAGGGTCCAAATGCCTCCCTGACCCAACACCCTCAGGCATGGATCTCCATAGCTCATTCAAGAGTGCCCCCCTGGGGTCCACACACATCAGAGAAGGGCCCAAATCTATGGGCACCATAGCACCTGCTCCTGCCCTTGTTTTGTGCTCTCCCTCATGGCACTCAGCTACAACATGATGCCACATGTTAAGAACAGATGACTTGAAGAGTACTTGGCGGGAGTCAATGTTCAGCAGGGTTTGTGATGGGGAAGGGATACCCCTGCCATGCAGTAGTGCTGTGCCTGGTTTTAACACATCATGACACATAGGAAAAGTCAGTCCCCATGGGTTCAGGGATCAAGGGAGGCTAAGATATGCTGGTAAGTAGCTCCACTGTGTGAGAGTGGGGCCAACAGAAACTATTGTCCTCAGCCTTCAGCCTGGGACTGACTCACCTCAGACCATGGTCCAGGCAGTCTGTTCAAGAACTACATGTCTGCTGCTTGGGGAGCTGCATTCCAGGTCCACGTCAGAACATTTGAGAACTTTCATGCCCTGTGGGGTACAGAAGAGGAATGGAAGTGGGGAAAATGTCCATCACAGGGCTTAGGAAGTGATCACCATGGCACAGGTATATAATTTGTTGTCCTTTCTAAAGCTGTACCCCAACAGAGATTTTGGCTTTAGGATATGATGCATGGCTTGGAACAAGGCACAGAGACTTTACTTTTGTGGGGCATTAAAGTGCCCTGTGTCTGTGGCATGAAATTTTCTCAGAGTTAGGGAGGTGAATTGGTATTTTAGTGGGTAAGATCCCCAGAGAGAAGAAACCACATGGAGCCAACATTAGCAACAGCAGTAAGCAAGCATCTTTATTATCCAGCCTGTATATATCAGCCATCATCAAGCATTACATTCTTGCATAGTGTCACAAGCCTGAGCACATCCATGGCTGTCTATGTTAACTCATGCTTATATAACTATGTCCATGGTGTGCACATGCTAATCGGTTAGGTCAGATCCAATAGGCCCTCATACCTTTTGGTGTTGAAGCAGTGTGCAGTGGTTTCTCACATTCCACCACCTCAAAGATCAGGGAAAATGTGTTTATTGTAAGTGACCTATAGAGTGGACTCATGCACACAAAGACCATGACAACAATAAATGTAAAGTATAATACCACTAATCATGCCACAGTGCAGCTTATTGCCACCCAGAGCCAGGTGGATCCCAAGGATTCCCACCACTGCATGAGCAGGTCCTGTTGCAAGGCATCAAGGACACAAAACTCCATGTCCATTTCTTTTAAATTTTTTTTAATTTAAAGATAGAAAATAAAATTAAAAGAAACAAAATACAAAAAAGCAAAAATGTGTAGAATATAGAATTCAAAAATATTAACTCCTAAAATTACTAGTTGATACATTACATATTCCCATCTTAAAAACAGTTGTTAAAGTTACAAAAACAAAGCATAAAAAGTCACTCAATACTGAAACATTGATGGGCAAACCCTTCCTTTCAGTGATCTAACAGAAATTTAGTAATATGGACATCTATCTTTCATACTATACATATCATTATATCATTTAGAGCCCATTACATTGCTTTTGCTTTTACAATATATACTATACTTTTTTGGATCCCAATTCTTTGTCAGTTTTTTATTATTTTTTACACTAGAGAGACAATGAGAGAGGATATTCTCAAGTTACTTTCATTTACTTATAAAGGTCTCAAATCATCCTTTTCTATAGCTGAGTAGTATTCCATTGTGAAAAAATACAATTTTTTCATCCACTTATTGTTGATGGCATTTTGTTGTTTCCAAGATTTAGCTATCACAACTGTGTTGCACATATCATTGCACATATATCACTGTGAAATATTTTTTTTCAAATTTCTGGGAAAATACCCAGAAGAGGAATATCTGGATTGAATGGAACAACCAATCTTAGTTTTTTGAGGAATTTCCACACTAATTTGCACAGTGCTTTTATCAGTCTGCATTCCCACCAACAGTGGACAAGTGTTCCTTTTTCCCTTCATGCTACCAAAATTTGTTTCAGTTTATTTCTTGATGTCAGTCATTCTTTCCAGAGTAAGATGAAATCTCAGTGCTATCTTAATTTGTATTTATCAAATCACCAATGATGGTGAACATTTCTTTATGCATTTATTTGCCATTTGTATATCTTCATCTGAGAACTGTGTACTTACCTCTGAGGCCCATTTTTGGAAATGGTCTTTGAATTTGGGGGCTTGACATTTTTCAATTCTTTATATGTTCTGCATAGAAGTCCTTTGTCATCTATCCAGATTCTTTCTGACTCTGTAGGGGTTTTTTGACTTTATTTGATTTCTGTTTATGTATAAAAACTTTTTAGTAATATGAGATCCCAGTTGTTGATTCTTTGAAGTATTTTCCATGTGGCTGTGTTTTATTAATGAATTCTCTGCCTACTCCTATGTCTCCAAGATTTCTATCTACCATGTATTCCAGTAGATTTTTATTTCTTTTTCAATATTAAGATCCTTGAACCACTTTGACTTTAGTTTAGTGTATGGTGATAGGTATGTGTCTAGTTTCAGTCTTTAGCATATAATGTCAATTTTTCTAATACCATTTTTTAAAGCGGCTATCTTTTTCCAGTGAACATTTTTAGCCCCTTTGACAAATTTAAGGTGGCTATGTGTCTTTGTAGTAGTGTTTTCATCTTCTAATCGGTTCTATTGATCCTCGGGTCTATTTCTTTGCCAGTACCATGCTGATTTTATTATTGTGGCTTTGTAGTATAGTTTCAAGTCAGAAATTGAGATGAGTCTTGTCTTTCTGTTGTTGCCCAGAAATGCTTTTGTTATTCTAGATTTCTTCTGTTAACAAATGAATTTCAGAATTATTTTCTCTAGATATGAAGGTATGTTAATGATATTTTGATTGGGATTGCATTGAAATGTATAACAGTTTTGGAAGTATGGCCATTTTCACAATATTGGCTTCTTCCTAACCAAGAGCAAGAAATATCCTTCCATTTTCCAATTTCCTCTTGAATCACCATTTTCAGAGTTGTATAATTTTCAGCATATAGGTGTTTTACAATTTTATTTAGGTTGATTCCTAAGTATTTCATTTTTAAGATGCTATTGTGAAAGCTGATATTTCATAATTTTTGTCCATGGAGTTTTTTGTTGGTGTACAGGGATGTTATTGATTTGTGAGTGTTGACTTTCTATCCAGCTATGCTGCTGAATTTGTTGCCTCTAGTATTCTTTCAATTGAGATTTTGGGGTCTTCTATGTAGAGTATCATGTTGTCGGCAAATAATGAAAATTTAACTTCTTTCCCTATTTTTATTCCTTTTATTTCTCCCTCTTGTCTGATTGTTCTGGCTAATATTTCCAGAACTCTATTGACTAGGAGTGGTAGTGGACATCATTGTCTTGTTCCTGTTTGTAGTGTGAAGGCTTTCAGTTTTTGTCTAGTATAACATTGGCTGTAGGTTTGTAATAAATGGTCTTTAGACTTTGAGGTACATAGCGTCTATTCTGAGTTACTGTAGGGTTTTTATCATGAACAGGTGTTGTATGTTATCAATAGCTTTTTCTGCATGCATTGCAATGATTAGGCGATTTTTATTTTTGGCTCTGTTGATATGGTGTATCACATTCATTGATTTGTGCATATTGAACCATCCCTGCATTCCTGGAATAAATCCTACTTGGTTATGTTGTATAATCTTCTTGATGATTTGCTGCATTCTATTTGCCTATATTGTATTGAGAATCTTTGCATCATTGTTCATTAGTGAAATTAGTCCATAGTTCTGCTATTTAGTTTGATCTCTCTCTGGTTTTGGAATCAGAATGAGACTTGGTTCTAAGAATGAGTTAGGGAGGACTAATTCTCTTTCAATTTCAATGAAGAGTTTAAGGAGTGTTGCAGTCAGATCTCTGAATTTCTTATGGAATTCATCCCTGAATCCAGCAGGATCTGGCCTTTTACTGTTGGTAAGTTTTTAATCACATTTTTGATTAATGTAGCCTGTTATTTGGTTACTCAAAATTGTTACATATTTTGATTGAGCATTGGTAGTTCATATCTCTACAAATCTATTTCCTCTGTTTTGCACCGTATGTGAGTAGAGATTTTCAAGGTAGGTGTTCATGATGTTTTGAATTTCCATGGGATCTACAGTAATTTTTCTCTTTTCAGTGCATATTGTGTGAATTTTCTTTCTTGATAAGCTTGGCTAGAGGTTTATCAATTTTATTTTCTCAAAAAAACAGCTCTTTGATTCATTAATTATTTGTAAATATTTTGGTTTCAATTTCATTAAGTTCTGCTCTAATCTTTATAATTTCCACTCTACTATGAACTTTGGGTTTTACTTGCTCTTCCTTTTCTAGAAGCTTGAGATATAGCAATAGGTTTTTTATTTGTGTTCATTCCATTTTCTTGATGTGACTACTTATTACTATATATTTCCCAGTTAGGACTGCTTTCATTGTATACCATAGGTTGTGGTATGTTGTTTCTGCATTTTCATTGTATTATAGATGTTGTTTTATTTCTTTTTTAATTTCATCTGTAACCCACTGGTTGTTTAGGATTGTTATTTAATTTCCGTGTATTTATGCAGGTTTTTCCAGGATTTTTGCCATTGATTTCCAATTTTAGGGCAATATGGTCCCATAATATGCATGAGAAAATTTCACTCCATTTGCATTTACTTAAAAATATTTTATGGGATAATATATGGTCTATTTTGTAAAATATCCCATGTACAGCTGAGAAGAATGTATGTTCTGATATGGTTTCGTGGAATACTATGTAAACATCCACTAAGTCTATCCATGCACAGGTATCATTTAGTTATGTTATTTCTTTGCTGACTTTTTGTCTAAGTTGATCTATCTCTTTGTGACAGTGGGTTGTTAAGGTCTCCTGTTACAATTGTGTTCTTGTGTGTTTAGCTTTTCATGCCCATTAGTATTTGTCTAACATAGTTGGGTCCTCCTGTATCTGGTGCATATATATTTATAATTGTTAGTTCTTCCTCTTGTAGTTATCCATGTAAAAGTTTGTAGTGGCCTTCATATGTCTGTTAATCATTTTATGTTTGAACTTCACATTGCCTGCAAACAGAATAGCTACCCCTGCCCTTTCCTGGGTTCCTTGTTAATGGAAACTCTTTTCCATGCTGTGACTTTTAATCTGAGTTTCTTTTTGAGTCAGATGTGTTTCTTGTATAAAACATACTCTGGAATCCTATTTGTTCATGCATTCTGTCAACCTGTTTCTTTTGATAGGTGAGTTGAGTCCATTTACATTTATGGATTATCACTAATATATACTGCTTTGATTTTGCAATATTGTGTTCCTGTTGTTGGTTTCCTGCTTTTCTCCATTATTTGGTATTTTGTCCAGCCTGGTGGTTTCTTTCTGTTGTTCTGGAGATTGTGGTCATGTTTACCGCTATTTTGCATATATTTCAGTATTCTTTCTAGGGTTGGTTTGATGGACATGAATTGATTCAGTTGTACTTTGTCATGGA